AACGCCCCAAAGAAGCTCCTGTACTTCTTAGGGCGTAGGGCGTTTTGTAGCGCGTTCATACGGCCTGTAACAAGCCCAGGTGTGAACCATACCCATAGGAAATAATGGGATTTTGGTGTTTGAGCGTTTTGCAGAGCGTAGGAACGCGCTACAAAACGCCCAGGTGTGAACCTGGCCTTACACTTCTCCACTGCTTCTTCCAATCTGTCCAACTTCCCTAGCGAAATACCGAAACCCAGCTAATGACCACGTCCCGTATGACGGCCGCAGCAAGCCCTGACACAGTTTCCCTCACCACAGCCATCTCACAGGAGCGCGGCGCTGTGCGACATTGTCTTCCCCTGTCTCTCTTAGGTAGGCGGCGATGTGCAGCAGTGTTGTCCCCTGTCGCTCTTTTGGCCCGGTGTCTCTTACGGATTGTGGGAGGAGCTTCTGTCAGGCAGGCTGCTTATAGGACCCCAACAAGCGCAGTACCTCTGGGCAGCCTGAAGCGATCTAAAAATTAATGTGCTGGTTTCAGCCCTATGAATTGGGGCATTTTCACAAATGCCCTGTATCGGTCCAGATACCAATACTAGTATTGGTATCGGGAGATCCCTACTCAGAACCGATTTTGTGACAACCCCTGTGCAATGTGTGTCAGTAAAACCGTTGTAGTCTCCATCCAAAGTGACAACACAGGTAGTTAGCGGTCATCTCATAAAAGGAAATGCCTTTACAAGCATCATTATGCCAGGATCATCAGGTATTTTAATGAAAGCTGCATATTTCAAAAAATTTAAAATAACTTTTAGAATTAAAATTGTGTGACATACGGCGGAAAAAACACAACCGTTCCCAGCTGGCCACGTCAGTATGCCATACGTTGGTGGCATTTACTATTCTTCTAAAAACGCTTCCTTGGCTGTTATTAACAGTCAGAAATTCTGGTGAGTGCCCAGTCACTGGGGGGTGTCTTTTGATTGCACGGAGGAGCACCATCGTATCGGAACACTGATTTGTTTGAGATTTAATTTGTTGCATCTGCACTTTGAGAAAGTTTTTTCTTTTTCCCTTTTTTTCACTTGAAAAGGTCGTTCACATTTTCACCAATAAGGATTGGACTTTTGCTGTGGACTGATTGTTTGGATATTAACCTTTGGATTTGTTATCTTTACACATGTCACTGGTTCACAATAATTTATGTTTTGATTTGTTACACGTGATGTTATAGTTTTACACAATATTTTATTCACTTTTATATTGCATATACACATCATTGGAAGGTTTTTGGCGCTGTACAGTTTATTAAGGATTGATTGAGGCAATAGCCTTTGTGTAGCAGCTTTTAACCTCTGTTGTTTCTTGATTGACTTCCATTAGCGCAGATTAATTGACTACCAGTTTTATCTTTTAGATTTAGTCAGAAAAGTATTTTTTTTTTTGTGCTCCGATACTGATTTTAGTGTGTTCTATCAATTGAATTGTGCATTTTTATCGGTTTACGATTGATTTGATAAACATTTGTGCAATTATCGCAGGGCCTACACATTTAGTAGCACCATCTTTTTATTCTACCGGGCCTGCGCTTTCAGAAAATATATGGTTTGGGGGGGGGTCTTTTACAAACGCTAGCAACGCATTGGTAGAAAAAACTGGAAAAATTGCAAAAATAGTGTGGCCAGCTGAGCTGTAAGCTGTAAGGGCTTGGCAGGTGTCTGTTGTGTAGCACATGTGCATTACAATATGAGAAATCTGTTCCTTATCACGGTGGTCAAAAAGGAAGCCAATTCTACTGTTGTATGGCCAACCATTACTCCCCTACTCCGCACACATTTGGATGAGCTGCACACACGGTTGCAGCATTTTTCCAACAAAGTCTCAATAAGCTATAAGAAAATTTTCTGAAATTTGCAAGTGCTCATTGTTCAGGAGCAAACCAACATACTGCCCAACAGTACATGACATTAATATGTCATAGATACTTATTTACATTGCTGCCAAATATTGGTCTGTATCGCTGAGATTACCCAGATCAATCAATTACATTTTACCTGGCAGAATAGCTGGAACATTTATGAGAGTTGCTTTAACCCCTTCATGACTGAGGCCCTTTTTTCCATTTTTGCACCCATGTTATATTATAGGATGTTCACTTTGCAAGGGAATTTTCACTTAGATTAATGCATAAGGTGAAGTTCGGCAGACTTCATTCAATAATGTACAAACAAAAATACTGTTTTTAGTTTCCTTGCATGTGATCTGTATTGTTTACAAAGGGCATTTGCACCACATTCATTAAGCTATGGGAAAATTCCCTTGCAAAGTGAAGAGCATATTTACCTTTAGTAAATCAACCCCATTGTCTTGTGTAAAATGGTGTATGGTGTCTGCATTTCAAAAGCATTTGAAAAGTGCTGAAGGGTTTTGGGTTCATTTCAATTGAGCAGTAATTACAGGATAGTGTACAGAGCTAGACCTGAGGTACCCAACCCAATGATCACAATCTCCCAGATCGTCAACAGCTGACTGGTAGATCTCTGGTGCAGAATTTTAAAGGAAAACTATTTGGAGAGTGAAATGCACTCATCTCCATAGTTAGGGCCGATGTATGACAATGCAGCTGTCACAGGTCAGCTCTATAGATTGAGAACTGAGCGATCACAAACTGCTGATTGTTCAGTTCCCGATCTTCTCCCTGCAGAGAGCGGTGACTGCCAGTCACTGCTCCCCACAGGGATTCCCCCCTTCCCCCTCTGTTCCTCCAGCGCTGACTGGAGGGACAGACACAGCTGGCTGCACAGCTGGCTCTGGCACAAGGGAGGCAGAGCCAGCTGTCAATCAGGTAGTGGGGTGGACCCCAACAATATTCCCTGGCTGTAGCGTGGCTCTGTCCTATCAGCAGATAGCGGGCACTAGCCAGCTCTATATTAAAACTTTGGATCACAGCAGTACATTAGTAAAATGTCCTCCTGTGACCCAAAAGAGAACGAACGCCAAAAAAGTTTTGGCCATAGTTCTCTTTTAAGCTATCAAAAGAAAAAACAAGTTTTATGAATTTTGCTAGTGGTACTGTAGCCTCCATTTTTTTTGTAAAGGGAAATGGTTAATGCTAAAGCTGAGAGCTCGCAACTTACTGCTGTGATGGACCACAATCTAAAAAAATGTATACACTAAATGTGAGATTGTAGTCCATCACGGGAGTGAGCTTGGAGCAGTGGCTACTTTACAACACACACAGGTGCCATAGGGAACAAAAATAGCCACCCTCCAGATGGAAAGAAAGCGTCAGAATGAATTCAGAGATGCTTTGAGGATCTACAGCTGATACATTTTCATTTAATAAACACTTGCTGTGGGTGGCCGTACATATACGGCCGGCCACTGAAGTGGTTATACCAAGAACACTGCAGCTATGTTCTTGGTGTCGTTTTAAACAGCAGGCGATTGCTGTTTCTGTACAAGGGATCCGGAGTCTGTACAGGCGCCAGATCGTTTGTGCGGTGCTGTGTCCTCCCCCTCTCTGCCTACGACGGGGTCGCCGCTGGCTTCCCCAGGCTCTGCTGTCCCCCCTGCAGGCCTGGCACAGCATATCTCCCCACATCGATCGGAGAGAGCTTAACAGGCTGATTTAATCTCCGATCACTAGACCCAGTAGTGATGTATAGGGCTGCAACAACTAATCGACATAATCGATTATAATCGATTATTGAAAAAGTATGTTTATTACATCACTCCCCGTGTCACTGTTTACAATTCTCCAGCTCTTAGAGCCAGGAGAAGAAGCTGGTGAAGCACATCTCTGCTTCATCAGCTTCTTTGGGATCCCTAGGTGACATTAGGGGTCTGAAAGACCCCTGATGTCTCCATAAAAAGGACCAGTCACATTATATTTACTATTTCATAGGGGGCTTGTTAGCCCCCTATGCAATAGCAATAAAGTTAGTGTAAAAAAAAAAAAGAAGTGTTTACAAAAATTGAAGTTACATGTAATAAAAATGGGAATAAAAAGCATTTTTATCCTAAAAATACTGGTTTGATAAACATTTGCACAAATACTGTGCAACATAAAAAAAAATGCAACTAGCATTCTTTTATTCTACAGGGCCTCTGCTTTCGGAAAATTGTTTGGGGGTTTGAAGCTGTTTTCTAGCCAAAAATTCATATTTTATCATGTGTGTGCAAAGAATAGAAAATTGCTCCGGGTGGCAAGTTGTTAAAAAGGTACTTGAATGCATTTTATAGGATTTAACTCTTAGGCTGTCCGCAATGTGCATGTAACATTTCTGCAGATGCACCGCAGTGCTGCACAACGCACAGTATGAGGGGAATTTATCAAAACCGGAGCAGACAAAAAACGGGAACAGTTGCCCATGGCAACCAATCAGCTTCTCCCTTCAGTTTGTTCAGTTAAGATTTGAAAATGAAACAGATGCTGATTGGTTGCCGTGCACAGCTGCTCCAGATGTTGTCTGCTCCAGTTTTGATAAATTCCCCTCTATGTGTATTGTGATGCGCTACCATCCAGTGTATCATTGACAATAAATGCCGCCCATACTAACCACATACTGAAGTGTACATATCCACACACTGCAGAAAATGCACATTACTCTTCATGTCACCATAACACATACGTGTAATTTGGGTCCGTAGTGTTTACATACACTTTAATCCAGCACATAAATACATCAGTGTATATCAGCCACATCACAAATGTGTTAATATACACGATACTTCTTCCCTAAAACAATATTTTGTAAAAGATAAAAGGTCATGTCTAAACAGGTGGCTATGGGTCAGATCTTTTAGCTCTTTACCTTATTCATCCTTTGGCAAACTAAACTACGAAATAATATGAAAGGAGTACTTAGAATGAAACTACATCTCCCCATTATGCACAATGACAAAATGATGTTAATGAACAGTATGCATACATTGATTGCACTTTGTAAACACCTGTAATAATAAATACATTGCCTGCTTCATAAACAACCAACCAGTTACACAGATCACTGACTTACCAATGGCTATACGCGGAGGACGATGGACATCCAGTCCAACTTTTTGCTCAGCTCGAAGCAGAGATGATAACACCATGTCCAACCGGTTATGTAAGCTGTCCTCTTCCACATGGCGGAACCAGTAAGCGACCAGTAGGGCGAGTAGAGATAACAGCGGTAGACACAGGAGCTTGGGGGCAGCCATGAAATGCCTAGTACAGGTCCTCTTCAGAAGCCAAGGATTACCACATAGGTTGTCAGTGCTGTTGCTGTAAACAACAAAATAAGATCCTTCCAGACAGATAGCGGCTACTAGCACACAGACACACAGCAATCACACATGTATACTAAATACAGTACACAATGCTGCATCTGTGCAACACTGTGTACACTTCACTCACACACACAGCACATGTACAATCACATGCAGATAGTAGAGAATAACTGAGGTGAGAGCTGGAAGCTCATACAAGCCCCTGCCTGTTACTTCAGGTACAATACAAATCACCTTTCTCACACATCCAGCTTGTGTCATCCAACAAGCAGCCAGCTGCAGCTTCCCTGGCCCCGGCCTCTTCCTCTGGCTGAGGAGGAGCTATAAACACACACACACGGAAGCTTATCGACAACATGGAGAGCAATGCTGACTAACTGAGGGTGTGTCTGCTCTCCCTCTGGTATCTGCCCCTCTGCTTAGCATAGTCTTTGTGCCATGTCATCGCTGTCTACTCCTACCACTGCTATACTCACAGTACAAAGAAGGGGAATCTCCACTTTCCTTCAAAATAAAGGCATAGTCCAGCTTTTACAACAACAACAAAATACATGTATATTTCTGTTCAATTTCCTTTACATACATTTAATACAAAATCTATTGAAAGTGGAAAAAAAATTATAATTGCAAAGCAGAAAATGTGCATTCATTTTAGTTTTTGCTGCATTGGACCCTGCAAAGCATTGCAACCACAATCGGTGGATGATGGGTGCAATGCTTTGGCTCCTGCAGACTCTTCTTCCCGGCCCCTGTTGGTATCCAGGTACGGGCTTTCAGTTATGGGGCCGGAGGACGTGTCAATGGACTGCAAGTGCGCTGATGTACTACATTGTGAACGAGAAGTCTCTATGCCATGGTGGCAGGCGAGACTTAAGAGTTTTGCCATAATACGAAATCACCTGCACTCCATGCAGCGTACAGACCTTGAGTAAGAGGTTGGTGCTTGAAGTGACAACACGGATGGCGCCTTGTCAGATACAGTCCATAATAGAAGTCACCAGCACTCGATGAGTTGGCTGTTTGACGCATGTGACAATTGAATAAAAAGTGCTTTACTTCTTGCACATATTATAAAGAGTTTCTCCATTCACAGATCCTGGGAAAGGATGACATGGCTGTGCAGGCCAAGCCACACAGCTGCGCCAAAGTAAAAATTGAGGGGAGACTGCGAGAAGAACCCTGCGATGTAGGGTGTGCATAGGCGTTCCTGGACACCTCCCTGCCTGAGGCCGAGCGGGGATGGGGGGGTGCTTGTGATGCATGTTTTGGGGGATGGGGGGGAATAGATGCTCTTGGTGCACGTTCTGGGGGAGAGTTGGGCGGGTTGTGGTGCACAGCATCCCGCCCAGCTCATAGAGACATTACTGGTTGCCAGGAGGTGGGCAGGACGCTAACCAGGGGGTCCCTCTCAGCTCCAAGCCACCAGTGAGCTTGGTGGGACACCAGCCAAAGTGTCACAGGTTGCTAAGAGCTTTTAGCCCCCACGTGACCCAGTGAGATGTTGCCCGAAGCTGCCTCATTATGCCCTCATTCACACTGTAATCGGCCAGCATATACAGCTCCGTGCAGAGCGTACCAAGCAGCTCCCGGGAAGGACAGGTGCTGCGTGTGATTAATACGCAGCCCCCGTCCTTCTCTATGGGACTACGCAACCGTACGCCCCCCTACGCTCACTCGCCCTGCACGATCCTGTCTGTGTCCAAGCCATGGAACTGCAAGTGACATTATGCATAATATAACAAACTCACTTTAACCAGTTGCCGTCCGCCCGTAGTAGAAAAACGGACGGACGGCACTGTCGCATTTGCGGGTTGCCGTCGCCAGACGGCATTTTTTTTCTGCTCGAAACCAATCAGAATAAAGAGTTATTAATTTTCAAAATGTCCCCCTCAATAAGGTGACGAACCACATAAACAAATGCAGCGACAAGCGAAACAAGGGTGGGGTTGGGAAGCTCATCTGGAAGACAGCTGACAAAGGTGAGGGGGGTCACAACGGCTCCTGTTTAAAAAGGGGTCTTCAGCCAATCAGAGGCCATCGAAGAAAAATAGTTTTCTCGCCTAAAAAGGTAAGATTGCCTGGATACAGTCTTCATCTAATCGAATTCAAGCTAGTTTTCCCGCCTAAACAGTAAGTCTGCCTGGATACTGTGGTAACCAATCACCTGTCGGGAGGAAAGCAGAAAAGAGCGGGAAAACCAAACAAGATGGGGGAAAAAGAACTACTAGTCACTGCAGATCCATGAGGGAGGGGGCTCACCTAGGGCTCGTTCATCCCCCCCTTTTCAGGAAACACGCACCCCTACGGACCTGCACTTGAGGTGAGCATAGGGGGGCGTACGGCTGCGTAGTCCCATAGAGAGGGACGGGGGCTGCGTACTAATCACACGCAGCACCTGTCCTTCCCAGGAGTTGCTCGGTACGGCCCTGCACGTAGTACGGAGCTGTACGTGAGGGCCGATAACGGTGTGAATGAGGCCTATAGGGGTGATGTGACCATGCTTCATGTACACTCTGAATATGGGTGTAACACAAAACATGGCATTAAAAGTAAACATAGACTGTAAAGGAAACTCTACTTTTCTTAAAAAATAAAGGCATAGTCCAGCTGTTTTTTTTTTTTTAAATACACATTCATAAAAGAAAAAATGTGCATTTATTATTACTTTGCATTGTAGCCCGCAAAGCACTGCAACCACAATCAATGAGTGGCATGTGCAATGCTCTGGCTCTTGCAGGCACTTCCTTTCAGCCCTTGTCTGTACTCAGGTAGATATTTCAGTTACAGGATGGGAGCAAGTATGAATAGATTACAAGTGCCGTGACATCACCAGAGAACTACAAGCCCCATTGTCACGGGGGAAATGGATCTGTGAATGGATGATGTGGCTGTACGGGCCGAACCATGGACAGCTGCGTCAAATTTCAAAACTGAAGCCTGTGGGGGGAAGAACCTACGATTCAGGTAAGTGGGAGGGTGGGAAGGGGTGCGGAATTAGGGATGTGACCATGTTTCACCCTGAATATTGGTGTAATATATTATGTGATGTTGTTGTACTCTGTCATACCATGCTGTGCTGAAAAAAGTACCACATACACCACCGCAGCACAGTGATGTGAACTGAGCTGATTGTAAACAAGGCAATTTGCTTTGTCTTTGTATTGGGACTGCACTGGAAAAGGCTTCCACTTCCAACACATATGGTGTGACCAAGCCCTAAGGACGCATGCACACATATAGCAATGACTGACAATTTTCCTCACCAGATCAACGCTAGTCACCACTATGGAGCGGGCCGTCCCTTTAATGAGGCAGCCTAAGGCTGTTTCCTAAGGCGACATCTCTTTGGGTTACGTGAAGGAGCGGCAGGCAGAGTGCATGGCCACTCTGCTGCCTGCTGCCCCCTTTTTGGCCAGAGCGTTCCAGGCTGCTAAGAGCCAGGTGGGGAGAAGTGTAAGGTCATACTGATCTCCCCACTCAGCTGTTAGCAACTAGGGACGCTCTAGCCGGAATCCAACCCAGCTCCTGGAAACCAGTGACGTCAGTGGTTACCAGGAGCCGGGCGGCATCACTCTACCACCCCACCCTGTGAGCCTCAGGAGGCGAAAAGGCTAAAGACTAGACTGGCTACGGCACAGAAAACAATTGCTTTCTATGTGCCCCATTCACAACATAGGTGTGATTTGCAGTGTGGCGGTCTGTGGTAAAACGCGGGCTGTTTTTCATGTGGATTCATTATTGAGAGTTTATTACTAATTTAATCACCCTGCAAGACTAAATATTCACACAGCCGCAAAAACGCAGCGGGGGGAATTTATCAAAACTGGAGCAGGCAGAATCTGGAGCAGTTGTCCTTAGTAACCAATCAGCTTCTCTCTTCAGTTTGTTGAGTTAAGCTTTGAAAATTAAAGATGAATGCTGATTGGTTGCCATGGGCAACTGCTCCAGATTCTGTCTGCTCCAGTTGATAAATTCCCCTCAATGTTTTTATTAGTTCTTTTTTTTTGCAAATGTCACTTTTAGGGCTCATACACACTGGCGTATTGAAATACTGAACTTACCACAGGTTCTTGCTGGCAAAGAAAGATCCTTTGTTAAAAAAAGCATGTCATGGTGCATAAAATGCTTACGTTTAGACGTGTTTACGTTAGTACAATGTTTAGACCTGTATAATTCATTTTGGTTTTTCTAGCACACACATACCAACACAGCATACCACTGCTGTCATTTGTGTGCGTCTGGGTTCATACCCTACTATACTGCTGCACACAGATGCATACAAAACTATATGCTATACAGCAGCGGTTCTCAACCTGTGGGTCGCGACCCCGTCGGGGGTCGAATGACGATTTGCCAGGGGTCACCCGGGAGTCTCCCGCTATTAGCGGCTCCTGGCCGCCCGGGAGAGAAACACTTTCTCCCGGAAAGGTGTACTCTGCTCGATCGAGCAGAGTAAACCTTTCCCTGCAATTATTATTTTTTTTTGCTGACATTGGAGGCGCCATAAGTCAGGAACAAAAAAAAAACACCATAGAAATGCATAGCTAGATTCCTATTGGCTATTTCACTTTGCAAAAGCAAACTAGCTATTGCACCCGCCCTCTGCTGCTGCCAACCAATCAGCAGAGGGGGACCTGCAGTTCTCCGTCGGGTCCTCTTCTAGTGATTGACAGCAGCAGAGGGCGGGTGCAATAGCTAGTTTGCTATTGGCTATTGCAAAGTGAAATAGTCAATAGGAATCTAGCTATGCATTCCTGTGGTGTTTTTTTTTTAATCTGACGGCTTACGCCAGTGGTTCTCAACCTGTGTCGCTGTGTGATTTCTGCTGTGCTAGGTGAGAGTCCTCCTAAGCTCTCTCCTTGCGCAGCAGTGTCGGTACACTCGCCACGCCGCCAGATGTTGCTGCAGCAGCCGCCGCGTCATCACTAAATTTTACCAGTGGGGGTCACCACAACTTTACAAATGTTACCAAGGGGGTCCCGGCCCTAGAAATGTTGGAACCACTGGTATACAGCAATTTGACGCCCGTGTGCATGAGCCCTTATTATTTGATATGGGCCCGTGCACACAGTGCATAAAGGTCAGTAAACTTGGTCTGTGTTTAGATATATAAAATGAAAATAGAACAATCTATGTCTAAGGTCAGTGATGTGCACATGTACACGCATGTTCATACACTATATTGCCAAAAATATTGGGACACCCCTCCAAATCATTGGATTCGGGTGTTCCAATCACCTCCATGGCCACAGGTGTATAAAAACAAGCACCTAGGCATGCAGACTGCCTCTGCAAACATTTGTGAAAGAATGGGTCGCTCTCAGGAGCTCAGT